CCCTGAGCCGCCAGGACAGCCCAGCTTGGGGAGGGGGCCCAGAGCCAGAGCCCTGCCCCCAAACCAGGGCCCTGCCCCCTCCTTGCCCCCCAAGCCAATTACCCAGCAGCCTCATCTCAGTCCTGCAGCCACCCCACCTTCTCCTTTGTAACCTCAGTGAGTCACATCCAAAATTCCCATGGCCAGCTGGGAAACTGAGGCACGTTCCCCCCACCTTACTACAGATCAGTGCAGGAGAGTAGAGATCACCAGAAAAGTGAGCGAACACAGGGGGCCAGGGTGCTGTGGGGTCTGGGCACCATAAGAGGATGAGCACATGTGGGGGCCCAATGGGGAGGCATGTCCCTGTGCAGGGGATGGGCGTGTGTGGAGGACCCAGGGGCCTCGTGGGGGCCCGGCCTGGCCCGGCTGACCCCCGGCGCCCCCAGGGCACGTTGCAGAAGTTCGTGGACGACCCAGGAGCCAGTGCCCTGCCCCTGCCTATCAAGTACATGTTCGACTTCCTGGACGAGCAGGCAGATCGGCGCCAGATCGGTGACCCCGACGTGCGGCACACGTGGAAAAGCAACTGGTGAGAGCCCCAGGGCTCCGGCCCTGCCTGCCCCTGCGGCTCTGGGGAGGGAGATTGGGAATGGGGGGTTCAGGGGGAACCCTGGCACTCTCTGAACCCCTTCCCCGCCCCCCAGCCTGCCCCTGCGGCTCTGGGGAGGGAGATTGGGAATGGGGGGTTCAGGGGGAACCCTGGCACTCTCTGAACCCCTTCCCCGCCCCCCAGCCTGCCCCTGCGGCTCTGGGGAGGGAGATTGGGAATGGGGGGTTCAGGGGGAACCCTGGCACTCTCTGAACCCCTTCCCCGCCCCCCAGCCTGCCCCTGCGGCTCTGGGGAGGGAGATTGGGAATGGGGGGTTCAGGGGGAACCCTGGCACTCTCTGAACCCCTTCCCCGCCCCCCAGCCTGCCCCTGCGGCTCTGGGGAGGGAGATTGGGAATGGGGGGTTCAGGGGGAACCCTGGCACTCTCTGAACCCCTTCCCCGCCCCCCAGCCTGCCCCTGCGGCTCTGGGGAGGGAGATTGGGAATGGGGGGTTCAGGGGGAACCCTGGCACTCTCTGAACCCCTTCCCCGCCCCCCAGCCTGCCCCTGCGGCTCTGGGGAGGGAGATTGGGAATGGGGGGTTCAGGGGGAACCCTGGCACTCTCTGAACCCCTTCCCCGCCCCCCAGCCTGCCCCTGCGGCTCTGGGGAGGGAGATTGGGAATGGGGGGTTCAGGGGGAACCCTGGCACTCTCTGAACCCCTTCCCCGCCCCCCAGCCTGCCCCTGCGGCTCTGGGGAGGGAGATTGGGAATGGGGGGTTCAGGGGGAACCCTGGCACTCTCTGAACCCCTTCCCCGCCCCCCAGCCTGCCCCTGCGGCTCTGGGGAGGGAGATTGGGAATGGGGGGTTCAGGGGGAACCCTGGCACTCTCTGAACCCCTTCCCCGCCCCCCAGCCTGCCCCTGCGGCTCTGGGGAGGGAGATTGGGAATGGGGGGTTCAGGGGGAACCCTGGCACTCTCTGAACCCCTTCCCCGCCCCCCAGCCTGCCCCTGCGGCTCTGGGGAGGGAGATTGGGAATGGGGGGTTCAGGGGGAACCCTGGCACTCTCTGAACCCCTTCCCCGCCCCCCAGCCTGCCCCTGCGGCTCTGGGGAGGGAGATTGGGAATGGGGGGTTCAGGGGGAACCCTGGCACTCTCTGAACCCCTTCCCCGCCCCCCAGCCTGCCCCTGCGGCTCTGGGGAGGGAGATTGGGAATGGGGGGTTCAGGGGGAACCCTGGCACTCTCTGAACCCCTTCCCCGCCCCCCAGCCTGCCCCTGCGGTTCTGGGTGAACGTGATTAAGAACCCGCAGTTCGTGTTCGACGTGCACAAGAGCAGCACCATGGACGCGTGTCTCTCCGTTGTGGCCCAGACCTTCATGGACTCGTGCTCCACGTCGCCCCAGCGCCTGGGCAAGGACTCGCCCTCCACCAAGCTCCTCTATGCCAAGGACCTGCCCTGCTACCGCGGCTGGGTGGAGCGGTGAGCGGGACACGGCCAGGGGGGGCCCGGGCGCCGCCTCTCAGAGCTTGGAGCATCCAGCAGGCCCCGCCCGCAGCCCCATGCACCAGAACCAGGAGTCCTCGTGGGGGCAGGGAGCCCAGAGCCACAGGCCTGCCCTCCCCCCCACGTCCCCAGCCGCGCTCCAGCTGCCCCTCCCCTGGCCTCTGCTCTGCTTCCCGGGCACA